TATTTACTATAGGTGTTACAGATAGTCCCCTGTGCAGGGCATGTATGGGGGAGGAAGAAACGGCGGCCCACGTGCTACTGAAATGTCCGGAGGTCGCTACGTACAGGGCTAAACATCTCGGCACGCCGGGATCACTCACCGAAGTTGCATGCAACATCAGGGGACTGTTGAGTTTCTTCGGGGAGATCTCATGGCTCGAATAATCACATTATTCCTGCCCACACGCAAAATACGCGCATAGACGTGGAGTTGCGGAAAACAGCCCGTCGCAAACTAAACTAACTAAACTATGGATGTATATGCCATATTTTGTGGCAATCCTTATGGGCTTATGTTTAGCAGTGGACTTGTGAAAGGCAAATGACGATGGTGAGAGTAACTAAACTATAAACTTATATGTATAAATCTTTATTTTAGGATTCCGTAAGTTATCTCTAAAGTATCATAAAATCTCATATACCAGATTCAAGATAATCAGGGTTAAAGATCGGAAAAATTTACCCCTTTTTCATCTTCGTAATTTAACTGGAATATTAGCATAATAAAAAACTTGCTCTCTTGTCTTAAAGACTATGGAAATCTTGTGAATAATGTATACTTGTTTATACATAGTGATGGTAGAGCCATGATGCAGCCAAAAATAACGTAAAATAGCAGCTAAGCTAAAGCTGTTGTTATGTATGGTTAAGGTATAGAATGGAGACTCTATTTACTGAAAATGAGACATTCCATCTTAGTCTTTAGGGGTCAAAATGCATCTGCATTTTGATTTTTAATTAAAGATAGATGTTGATGTCTATGGGCCACTGTGACTTGTATATTAAAACAAGTTTTATTAATTCCATAGGTTCTTTGAAATTTTCTTTATTTAAGTAAGTATTTTTACATTTCCAGATAATTCAAAAAGCACTTACGAAATAGATGTAGTTTCTAAGCCATCAATAAGATCCGATTCCTTTAGCGATAGTGACGAAAATGATAAAGCATGTTTGGACGCCAGACAGAAAGATAAATCAGAAAGCAAAGAAAGTGACGAAGAGGACTCAGGGAATGGTAATTTGCATATATTACATTGAAATATAAGAGGTGAAATATTTAGAGTACTTACAGTAACTAAATGTGTTGTTTTACAACTACTACTTGCGATCTGAATATAGCAAAAGATTTTTGTATTAAACATTCATAATCTTGGGCCATATTGCAGAACCTGATCGTAAAGAAAAACAGAGTACAAAGGGAATTAATGCTGAATACGAACCAGAAGGTAAAATATTATTTTACCTCGATTTTTCTACGTATTTCAAAGTATAATACATTTAATTAATCAAAATTATTCCTTTAATCTCTTTATTTATTATTAAATTTACAGAAAATGTTAACATTCACGATAGATTTTCAGAAAATGATTCCAATGGTAGGTATTCTTTACAATTTTATGTCTCTGCTATTCATCAATCATTACAGTCTTTCACGCGTCCACTGCTGAACATGAGTATGGACTGTGGACTCATTTGTCACCCTATAAAATAAATTTGTGATTTGAAGAATGGATTTGTAACTTGCATGTCACTACTGTTGAAGCATTTACGATTTCAAACTAACATATGTAAGAAAATTTATTTAATCTCATGAAATTTCGTAATGATGGTGGTTTTTCGTATTATGCTAAAGCCAGAAGAACTAAAAGGATACACTGTAACTGAAGGCCACTGTAACTGAAGGCTGTTTTTAGTCATTACAATAGAAATTTATAATTCTTACTAGAATAATATTTATTCAACATAGATTCCAAAATCAAGTAAATTTAACCAAAAAATTTTGATGATAATATTTAAAATTATAATATTTTTTTTATTAAAGCCCACCTGATGGTAGTTGACTGCAGCCCAATAACAATTGCAGCCAACTTCAAATAGAGACGGCTACAGATACATTATCGCCTCTAAAGAGTAAAATGCAATTCCTTATGGCCTGTAATTTTACTGATTCTCCATACCCTTCAGACCAGAACCCTGCAGTGTATGCATTGCTCTTTGGTTAGAAATAGTGAAGAGTGTGTTACTCACACAGAAGAAGTCCTAGGCAGAGAACGAGTCACCTAGTATTCCTTTAGTGAAAATGTATGTGTGTACCATAGACTTAGGATAGGAATATAGAAAATCTCATGACTTTGTAACTGATTTTGAATGACAGGTCGGCACAAGTCAACATGCAAAAAATGAGCTCCTAGATATTTTATAATTTTTTAGAGTATCATAGATATTATTGTCAGTAACTAATTGTTTTCCAAAATGGTTACTTGTTCTGTGAGTGACTGTGGTGTTAATAATAGAAATAATCCTGCTAATTGCACATTTCTCAGGTAAATTCTTAAGACATTGTCAATAACAAGATGCGTCTATTTTTGGTTAAAATTTAAAATATATTCAATATCAAATCAAAATATATAATATATTCAATTATTTTATTAATTTTGATATATTGCAAAGAAAAAAGTCATGTTTTTAAAAATTTGCATAAATTTGGTAAATACAATTTTACACAAAATATTTTACATGTACGCTAGGGATTGACACAACTATATCAAAATGAATGTCGAATCTCGAACGGTCATACGCAATCATTAAACTTGCCCATACAAAAACAGGAATGGTAATTAATGCTCGTTTGCGTTCTAAAAATGTAATTTTATTTTGATGTTTTTGAAACATATTTTCTCTGGATTCTATCATTAGAAAAAATGGTTGATTAAGTGGGTGGGTTGGTTGGAACCCAAAGAAGAACTGAACAATTTACCGCAAACATTTTCTTGAGAAGAATAAAAGGAAAAGTAGAATAAAACCAATTTTAGTAAAAGGAGCCATTTCTACATTATTTGTACCAGCAAGTCTAATAAGACTTAAAAAATTTTACTTCAAAAACTTTTGTAAAGATAAAGATAGATTTTTATACATTATAAAACTGTAGTACATTAAAGATGTATCTATTTATCGACTGAAAAAATGTATAACCTTCTGAAGCGCCATTAAACGCCCATGCATGAGACGCGTAGTTCTGTGTGCCAGGATACTATAAATTCCGTAGCATTTGATATTGAGGGCTTAATAGCGTGGTTCATCACGTCGTAGAAAAGAGGAGCTTGTGGCTAAGTAATAACTGTGCAGATCAATAGATCTGCGAGAAAAAGGTGCACTTATTGTGGTCAGGCAATGGATGAGTGACCATTTTTTTAACATGCATATATTATACATATAACATATATTAAAAACATAAAGAGTACATATGTATCCTCAGATACTTGGTGCACTTTAATATCTCCAGCGTATTTGGCTAGTCTCTGTTAATTATTATGCTTTAAAATTCATGCATTTAAAATGATAATAAGTTTATTATAACTTCATATTTTTCAGTGATAGATGATAGAGAGAGTAGCCTCACAGACATATAATTGGGCCTTTAAGAAGATACCTTGAAAATGAATTGTAGTTTTGGGGGCGTGGCTTATTCCTTTGTTGGTGAAGCTCACAGATGACTGAGGAAGTGTTTAAAAATAATTCCATGAACATATTCGTAAAAATATTGTGATGTTATGAAGAAATGTATCTAATTAGAGCTTATTTTGCAATTTTTTTCTATCGAGACAATTACATGATATTGTGTGTTCCTTTTATGTTAAAAATCATATACCAAAATTTTGGTTAGTAATCAATACAACTGAAAACAATATGTGAAATAGAAAAACCACCAAATTTTCGAGGTATCACCTTATACAGAGCAATCATATTTAACTGATTTCTACAAGCTTCCTTACTTAAATTATAAAGTTTACATTCATATTTAAGTTGAATGTTAAAATAAAATTATCATAGGTAACACTTAAAATACGAAAAATAAAGAAACCATTATGTACACCATGTCCCCGTTTTTATATCACAACCTAAACATTTTATAAAATATAAATAGGTGATTACTTAATTAAGTATCCTACCTATTTGATGAAAATTATGTTGATAAATAAATTTCGAGGAAACTGTCCACGGCAGTAAATATTTTTTTCTAAAGTTCCAAAATACAATTTTCTCATCTGGTACTTGGGGAAATTGTTTAAGTTGATTCGGTAGACACACCTCTTTAGAGATTATTGGGATTTTGTACATTTTGAATTAAAATCCCACAAAATGCAGGTGGGTGCTGCTTATTCTCGGGAACATGTTATATAAATATTTTAGAATATCATGTTAGGTTCATGCATTAACTACTTTTTTAATCCTTTTACTGCTTTCTTAACAATAATTTAGTCCTAATATAGTCCTTGTGAGTAAAATGTACATCCCTAGTCAACACACACAATGACAAATCAAAATCGGCCACGCAATTTTGTGCTGTCAGCTAGTCTATTCTAAGTCTGTGGTGTGTACTTTATTCAAGTAAAAATAGCCTCGCAGATATCATTTTTTATCCTTTTTAATTAATGTTTATTGTTACATAAATGTAGTAGCAATACCACAAAATTATAAAAGAACCTGGAATATACAATAATCTGTTACAAGAGCAGGTATTTATTTCTCCAAAAATATTTTACGGATTATTATGAATAATTTTATCTTCACAGAGGAAAATGATGCATTTCAATTAGCAAGAGTTTATGCATAAAAGAAAGAAGATTTACCTACGAAAAGACTGAATCATTTTGTTTAACATAAAGAATCTTGTTCAAATTCATTGTCAGAAACGAAAAATCATATTTTATTCATATTTATTGGGTTTAATATTGATTCTTTTCTTCTACAGTATATGTTTGTAATCATATAAATCTATAGTTTTATATATAAGAGTAAAATACGAATATTTTTAAATTGTGCGTTTGTTTCATTTATTGGAAATAACTTTTATGGTTTAAATATAAAACCTTTTTAGTTTATGAGCAGGTATTTCATACTGTAAGCTACAAGTATGTACTGTTTAATTAAACCATTTCATTTAGTATATAAAATAATTACCTGATCGAAAATCCCTTTAGATTTGAGTTCATACACCAATTGATCTACTAAACGAGGATCTCCTGGTAAATACTGCACATTTGCCATAGTTAATTCCGCTATTTTATAGTCATAAAATAAAAATTGTATTGATCCTAAAATTATAGACCTATGTATTTACTCTTGAACAAATTTATAATAATAAATGAAATGTGACAACTGACAACTGACACTGACCACAGAATAGAATAATATTAGGCCCATAGATAAATACACGGGTGGTGATCTCTATGCAAATATTCCTAGCCGTACTCTTATTAGTTTGTGCATATTATCTATATAATAATGGCAAATCACCAATATTCACAACCCTTTTTCCGAAAAGTAACGATCAAGTGATTTTTGTCTTCATTTTACAACGATACTACAAAATATTTCAAACATTAAAAAATATAAATAACATAAATATACGGTCTACTTGTTTGTAGTCAGATCATTTTTTTTTTAATTTCTATCCAAATATAGCAGAAAAAAATGTTGAAATAACGTAATTTTCAGAAAACTTCATTCGAAATAAGTATTTTTTTCTATTACTTAGAAACACTTTTAATTAATTTAAAAAATTACACATCACCCGATCACCGATCAGTGATGACCAAACCTTCCCAGAGCGAGGACATATCACTTTGCATCGCAGGCGCTCCCGTGTTTTACGTAAACATTTCCAGAAATTATACGCCGACCACCAAATTTAGAATCAGGGTAAATATTTTTTTTTGTATAGTTTGTTTATTAAGAATAATAATATTGTAGGACGAATGTTAGGAGAGGAGTTAAACAAACGAATGATGATATAAGACTCTCTTTATTGTATTAATAAATTTGATTATATAGGATTATTATTACACTTGTGTGTGTACTTTTATATACTCTTACTACTACTACTACACCTTCCATCCAAAAAATGTGACAATGCAAGGATACATATTTTTTAGGCATCGATACATTAAAAAACTTATTTTTGTAAATATTAGGAACAATTACATTATAAAATAATATATAAAGTATTTATTTTAAGAACATTTTTTAATGATTATTTAATTTAGAATATTTATAATTACGTAATATTAAGTAATCTACATAAAGAAATAATAATAATAACAATAAATGTACTTAGACAAAGCATATAAAATATGTTTTATTTATTATTGGATATACAATTACGTGCGGTTTTTATGTACTAATTCATTTTTACCATTCTTAATTATTTCCACGTTTGGTGCTACATCTTTAACAACTTTATAAGGACCAGAGTATAGATCACTTAGTTTATTACCTGACTCATTTTTTAAGAGTACTGAATCATTTACATTGTATTTTATAGGCTTGGTATATTTATCAAATATAATTTTTCTCTTTTCTAATAAATAAATAATTTAGACTTTATCAAATTATTTCTTGCCTCTCTTTGTGACAATTGTAACCTGTATTTGAGCTCACATGGATAATGATCGTAGTTATAAAGTGGCTCTAAATATACTGTCAAATTACTAGGAAGTGAACATTTTTTACCAAAGACAAGTTCATAAGGACTGAATTTCGTCTCTGTATGAACTGTCGTATTATAAGCAAACGGCCAAAATGGTTACCAGTCGCTCCATGTTTCAGGGTGATTATCAATTTGAATGCGAAGAAAAGCATTTAAATTTTTATGTGACACTTCCAACGCACCTAGTGATTGGTGGTGGTAAGCAGTCGAATTTAATTGTTTTATTTGAAGCAATTTACAAACCTCTTGGAATAATGATGCGGTGAACTCTTTCACTCTGTCAGTAGTTATAATAAAATAAGCGTTAAAGCATAAGAGTAATTATTATTATCAACTTCAAATGGACCTACTAGGTCTAAATATATCTTTTCAAACGCTGTGTTAGCTGTCGTTGTTATTTCTAATGGCTCTCTTACGGTTAACGAAAATTTCTGACGCTGACATTTGTCACAATGCCTAACAAAGTTCTTTACATCCTTATCTAACCCAGGCCAATAATAATACTTTTTTATATTGTTGACCATCCTTCTCATACCTGCATGGCCACTGTTAGGTAGGAGATGGAATTCATTTAATATCACCTTTCTGTCATCCTTATTATATATCGTTTTTACATTATTTATTATATGTACACGTGGACCGGTCCTATCATTCATAGATTTGACTTCTTCAACTAGTTTTTTAATAAATTCCTTATTACCATCCTTATTTATTATACATACTTCATTAACATTTATTAACTTACAAAAATCATCTAATTCCACGTAATAGTGAGTCGGAACTTAGATATTTAATGTAAATTATCTTTTCCTTTCCAACATAACAAGTGTATTATTTTGTTTACTAATAATTCTTAGTTTTCTCAATGTTTTCAAATCATCTTTACTAACCATACGCAACTCCACTGATTCTGCTGGTTCGACATGATTACTTACGACTTTCGGTTGATCAGGCCTCAAGTCTGTGGTTATCATGTCCAACGAGGAGGATCCTGGTTTATTTATTTTTCGCGATTTTGCTCATGTCATGACATTAACGATGTTCTCAATTAATTCTTTTAACTCTTTCGAACTCAAACAGATTCTAGATAACGCATCTGCAGCTGCATTATCTGAACCCCTTACATACTCTACGTCAAAATTATATTCCTCTAATACCAAACGAAACTTCATAAGCCTGCTCGATGGATCTTTCATGCCAAATAGGTATACTAGAGGTTTATGGTCGGTCCTGATTTTAAAATATTGCCCATACAGATACGGTATGAAACGTTTGACGCCCATACTATCGCTAACAACTCTTTTTCTATAACTGGATAGTTTGATTCAGCCTTATTCAGAGATCTGCTAATAAATGCTATTGGTCTTCCATTTTTATTCGACAGAACTGCTCCAATTGCTTTATTAGATGCATCGGTTTGTAAAATGAAATAATTTTCTTTTGAAAAATCAGGGTAATCTAAAACTGGGGGGGGGGACATAATACGTTTATTGAGTGTTTCAAAAGACTTGACATTTTTCAGTCCAAACGAAATTAGTATTTTTTCTACAATGGTTGCGCAATTTCAGCAAACTTGGGTATAAACTTTCTATAATAATTTGTGAACACACAAATCTTTTAACTTCTTCGGCATTCTGCAGACAAGATATAAAATCTGTTTTTTAAGAAATGTATATTTTGAAGGATTTAATTTTAAATTTACTGAACGAAGTCTTTCAACAACATTCTGTAAGTTATTATTGTGGTGGTCTAGTTGTCTACCAAAAACAATGACATCATCTAAATAAATTAAGCATTTTTCATTATTTAGTCCTGACATTGCTAAATTCATCGTTCGCGAGAAAGAACTGGGACTTGTTTTTAATCCTATGGGCATTCTCGTCATCTGGTATTGACCAGAATTGAAAGCAGTAAATTTTCGACAACTTTTATCTAAATTAAAATTGTAATACCCTTGATATAAATCTAAATGTGTAAAATATACACTTTCAGACAAAGATTCTAAGATTTCTGTAATATCAGGGAGGGGGTACTTATCGTCCTCTATAAAGTTATTTAATTTACGGTAATCCACTACCAATCGCTATTTTTTATTACCCGATTCATCTAATTTTTAGGCACCAATAATATTGGGCTAGACCAGTCACTTTTACTAGGTTCTATAATCCCTTCTTTAAGCATGTTGCTAATTTGACGATTAATTTCCTTTTTCTGACTAATTGGTAACCTATAGGGTTTTGAAAACACTGGACTAACGTTTGGTTTCAAAAAATATTGTGAGTGTAAATATCCATTGTTGTCAATTTATCGCCCTCTAAATAAAAAACATCTGCATATTTTGCACAAATATTTTGAATACTTTGAATTTCTAAGTCATTTAAATCATTTAATTTTAATGAGGAAAATAATCGTTTTACTCGGTCTGCATTATTCTCATTTTTCTCAAAACTACAAATATTATCGTTTAGATCATGAATTGCAGGATTTATTCCTGACCATATTACTGATTTTTCGGTAACATTTAATATTTTTATTGGTATTTTTCCCCTAATTGGTGTCGCTATCGAGCTAGCCAAATAAACGCCATCTTGTAATTCTGTGAACAAATAATGCAATCGGTTTGAAAATCAGTTTGAATATAATGTATGAATTCACTTCTTGGAGGAATTTCCAATACGTTAATATTATAATTATTAGTGAAAGGCAAGAAACAAGTATGGCCTGACCCTAACTTCAAAGATAAAATATTTTTCTCGAAATCTAAACATGCTAAAAATCTATTCAAAAAGTCTCTACCTAGAATTCCATGCGACGAAATTGGTAACGAATTTAAAACAAAGAACTTGTGATTAATAACAGATCCATGAATCATTAATGGAACATAAACATATCCGATTGTTTGCACCTCGCCACCTAGACCGTTTATAATTATATTCCCTTTATGTAATGAAACACTTAATTTGATAGCATGTTTATATGTTACGGCGGATAAAGAATAAGTTTTATTGCATGATGAAACTGATAAATGAATAAAACAATTGCTATTACTACTAGCCAAAATTAAATGATTTTGTTTATTCTCGAAAAAACTTATCTAGTCGTGGTTTATTTGAAGTTGATTCCTGGTTTTCGTTAATTATATTGACTATATTTCTTTTTACCCCTTGATTTCCGCGATAATTACGAAACGTACCTCGATTATATCTTCCACGCTGTCCTTGGCCACGTGAGTTCGAGTGGTTCCATGAACTCGATCGCTGCGAGTTTCCATGGTAGTGTCCTCGCTGTGAAAACATTTGCCGATTACGCCCGTTGCCGCGTGGGTACCTAGAATTATGATGAAAATTCCTAGGATAATAAAATTTCTTACTGGACGTGCCCATCACCTCTCCTGCGGCCGATGATGATGAAGTCTCTTCATCTTGAGCTGCTTGAATGGCATCTTTCAGAGAGCTGTAATTTCTAGCAGAAATTATTGTGCTGATTCGACGATTTCGTAAGCCATCCGAAAATTGCTTGATCGCTTGTTTTTCATTAACAGTTTTCAAAATATTGTAAT